TTTTGCTGATAATAATTTCTTATTAGTTAACGGTGTAAAATTGGTTTATGTGGAAGGTGCATGAATATTAAACCTATTTGAAATGAGAAATTAAATTGATGAAATATGTATGGCAGACATATCTTCCAAGTGCAACACCAGGTCCATTGATTAAGTACAGGAAAGAAGAGTTGGTGGCTTTAAGAGGAGATGGAACAGGAGAACGCAAGGAGTGGGAAAGGATTTATGATTATGATGTGTACAATGATTTGGGTAATCCAGATAGTGATGCAAAGCTTGCTCGTCCAATCCTTGGAGGCTCTAGCAACTATCCCTACCCTCGTAGGGTTAGAACTGGTAGAAAAGCCACCAAGAAAGGTTCGACTTTGTTTTTTCTTTTATCGTGTTTTGATTACTTTAATAAGGAGGTGAAATTGCCTCTTAAGCAAGTTGTTGGTCTCTGAATCTTTTATTGAGTATTAAAAACAACAACGGGTTTGGTAAGGTAATAAGAAGAAAAGACAGCATAGATTCTTTTAAATTGAGTCAAATATTACAACATGTGTTTGGTGAGAAGGGGACTGAATAAATATTTTAATTAATGGACAAAATGATGGGTCTCATTGTTTAGTCTTAATAATTAAGAGAATAGAAAAAGAAAAAAAAAAGGTTATGTTTATCTTATTAGTAAGGAGCGATAAGAAGAAAATTTAGGGTGGATATTGAATTTATATTTTTAAAAATTATTTTGTTTTTTTAAATATAACAAAACATGATTGTTCAGAAAGTTGATAAAAGATCACACAAGACACGAAACAAAAAGTGAAATTGAGGAAGAGAGTGCTTTAGTGATGGACTTATATATATGTGTGATATTGTTAAGGAAAAAAGAAAATTGTGTAATTTAGTGATAGACTTGACAGCAAAAAATACTTTTGTTGTGGTTTTAGGGGCAAGCAATTTGACATGTTATGAATGTTTGCTAATAATATTATTTATTCTTAGCAGATCCAAAAAGTGAGAAACCTGCAGTGGAGCTTTATATTCCAAGAGATGAAAGTTTTGGTCACTTGAAATCATCAGATTTCCTCACATTTGGATTGAAATCTTTATCTCAACAACTTTTACCTTCACTCGAAACTGTATTTGACTCAGATTTCACACCAAATGAATTTGATAGCTTCGAAGAAGTGAGACAACTCTATAAAGGTGGAATTCAGCTCCCAACACATGTACTTAGCCAAATTAGCCCCTTACCTGTCCTTAGGGAACTCTTCCGCTCTGATGGTGAAAATGTCCTTCAACTTCCACCACCTCATGTAGTCAAAGGTACCTTAATTAATTTCACAACTTAAATACATTAACATTTCTTAATATATTATTAACTAATCCAATGTCGTCACAACTTTTTTTATTTTCATTTGAGGCAGTTGATGAGTCTGCATGGATGACTGATGATGAATTTGCAAGAGAGATGATTGCTGGGGTAAACCCTTGTGTAATTCGCCTTCTTAAAGTAAGTCCAAAACCCAAATATTTTATATTTTAATTAGTGAAGGCTAAATTGTTTTTATATATTGTCTCACTCTATCTTATTATTGGACGTGTTAAATAATAATCGCAGGAATTCCCACCACAAAGCAAGCTAGATCCCACACTCTACGGTGATCAATCTAGTACAATAACAAAACAACACTTGGAGATTAACATGGATGGGGTCACAGTACAAGAGGTAATTAATAATTAATATACATGTGTTCCACTATAAAATGCATATTAACTTTTTAGCCATAATGAATGTTTTGCAATATTCTCCACCAAAACTTCTTCTTTTAAGGAAATATAATATTCGTTAAATGGAAACAAACGGTGTATGGAACTATGGATCACATGAGGAACATCATCTAGCCAAAATTAATATTAAACCGAAAATTTTAAGTATTGAATGAAAAATTAATATATTAGAAAAAAATTAAACATTGCACATGAATAAAGTATACTCGAAACCTCATCAAAAAATAATTAGTCAAAATTTTCTATGTAAAAATTAATTATTGATGAAATTGATAAAATCTTTATACCAATGATATAGTCATCCAATATTTTCTTTACTTGAAATTAGAATTATTTTTCTAAATCACAGGAATGGACCTAACAATAAAAAAATTGAATAAAATATATAAAATCTTAAGTTCAAATTATGATGATGTTATTATAATTTCTACAAATAAAAAAGAGAGTCATTATTTTCTAGCATGGAGACAGTTGAAGTCATATTGTTTGTGATTCAAATCGGAGCTACGAAACAAACTGTGAACACTGAAATTAAATTTTGTGAGCAGGCACTTAGTGGTAAGAGATTATTCATACTAGATTACCAAGATGCATTCATGCCATATTTGACGAGGATAAACAGTCTTCCCTCTGCAAAAGCTTATGCCACAAGAACAATCCTATTCTTGAAAGATGATGGAACTTTGAAGCCACTTGCTATTGAATTAAGCAAGCCACACCCTAGTGGAGATCATTTGGGTGCTGAGAGCAAAGTGGTGTTGCCTGCAAACCAAGGTGTTGAAAGTGCAATTTGGCTATTGGCCAAGGCTCATGTTATTGTAAATGACTCGTGCTATCATCAGCTCATGAGCCACTGGTATGAACTTTAATTACTAGTAGCAACATGTACAAACTAACATGTTGGTGTGTGAAATTATTATTAACTATTTTTCATGGGATCATAGGTTAAACACTCATGCTGTGACAGAGCCATTCATCATAGCGACAAACAGGAATCTCAGTGTGCTTCACCCTATTTATAAACTTCTTCAGCCTCACTATCGTGATACCATAAATATCAATGGACTTGCTAGGGAGGCCCTGATTAATGCAGATGGCATTATAGAGAAATCATTTTTGCCTGGACGCTATTCTGTTGAGATGTCTTCAGCAGTTTACAAGAACTGGGTTTTTACTGACCAGGCATTACCAGCTGATCTCATCAAGAGGTAATCTTATTAAATATACATATATTACTACAAAGAGTGTTTGATACATCAAATTTTTTTACTGATTCGTAAATCTTGAAACGTTAATTTTTTTTTTCTATTTTGTTTGTTATTTAAAAGATAATATTTTCTAAAGTTAAACTCTAAATATTATTTTTCAAGAATGATTTTTACATAAATTTTTCATAGAATTGTTCTTATCAATAGGTGCAAAATTAACATTCTTAAATTAAATTTTTTTTAATACAATAAAAACGTCATAATAAAAAAAATTATTTTCATACAACATTTATAAATATTTTTAAAAATATTTATAATTAATTAAATAAATTTTTATCATTTATAAGAATCATGATCGGACGATATAAAAAAAATTGTCTAATGCCAAACATTTCCTAAACAAAAGTGATTGAATTTTACGACAACAATCATAAAAGTTGTATTCATATCTATCGTGGTTTCTTATTGGTTAGCAAAATATTAAATATTAAATACAGGAGTATTAAGGTTTGAAAATTGAAATGTAATGTGGCTTATAATAGAAAGATGAACTTGTTCAATTACGGGACTAAAAACCAGAAATATGTCCTTTTTAACGATGATAAAAACTGAGAAAATATATTTATTGTCAATAACAATTTACTTATGTTTTCTTTTGATTGATTCAGAGGATTAGCAGTTGAGGATCCCTCTGCCCCACATGGGCTGCGGCTTGTGATAGAGGACTACCCTTATGCTGTTGATGGACTAGAAATATGGGATGCCATTAAGACATGGGTGAAAGAGTATGTCTCCTTGTATTACCCCACAGATGCATCAGTTCAACAAGACACTGAACTTCAAGCTTGGTGGAAGGAAGTTGTAGAGAAGGGTCATGCTGACTTAAAGGATAAGCCTTGGTGGCCTAAAATGAACACTCTTGAAGAGCTCATTGAATCATGCTCTACTATCATATGGACAGCTTCAGCTCTCCATGCAGCTGTGAATTTTGGACAATACCCTTATGGAGGTTACATCCTGAACCGTCCAACTCTCAGCAGAAGATTCATCCCAGAAGTAGGAACCAAAGAATATGATGAGATGGTGAAGAGTCCTCAAACGGCTTATTTGAGAACAATTACACCAAAGTATGAGACCATTATTGATCTTACAGTGATAGAGATATTGTCAAGGCATGCTTGTGATGAGGTGTACCTTGGGGAGAGGGATAATCCAAATTGGACATCTGATTCTAAGGCATTGCAAGCCTTCAAAAAGTTTGGAACCAAGCTGGCAGACATTGAGGGGAAAATCAAGGAGAGAAACAACAATTCAAATATGAAAAACCGGGCTGGACCAGTTCAACTTCCATACACATTGCTCATTCCTTCAAGTGAGGAAGGGTTGACCTTCAGAGGAATTCCCAACAGTATCTCTATCTAAGGAACCTTCTCAATCACTCTACTTTCTAGTAACACAAATTATGTGTATGTGCAATTATTTTTTGTATGTTTGTACCAATGTATCTTTGGAATTGGCTGCTTAGTGCTCTTCATCTGCAGATAATATAATAATGTTTTCATTGTCACTGAATTTGTATTTAGTTTGTGTTATCAATGCTAACCTACCATAGAATGGAGAACACTAGAAGTAAATATATTTATTATTATATATTCTAATACCATTACCATCGGGGGAGTGGGGTTGGTTAACGCGATCATTACATTTTTTATTATAGATGTTAATTAACATAAGAGAATCCCATGTTGGTGCAATCATTGTGCATATGAAACAGGTAAATTAATAAATTAAGTAGTAATAATCAAGATTATCTTATACTAAGTTGTCATGAATGTCCTTATCGTCTCTCAGTGTTGTTCGTGCTGTCGTGCACATTTTAATAGAGAATTTTCAATTGTATATACCTTTGAACACTTAGCAGTGGATCTACACGAAGTTAAATTAAATTAATAGTTCTGAGTTTCAATCTGAAATACGTAGTTGTATTCGATCTTTTAACCTACACGGGATAGTGAAAATAAGAGTCACGTGACTCACTTATTTTTTTCTTCTTAAAACAATTAAACTGGCATATTATAGTATGCTGGATCTAATTGAATGAATGGATGAGATTTGGTGTTCACTAAACCAACTCTAGTTATTGGTGGTTCATTTTTATAGACTAATTGCACTTTCAAAGATTAAAACAGTTATTTAGTGGTTATGTGATTCAGTACTCCCCGTTTGATTAGTATTTGGGCTTAGGCCCCTTTCGTTTAATAATTAATAATTAATGGAGGGCTCATGATATATACACTTCCTTTTTTTATAAGTACATCTCCTTTATTTTTTATAAAAAAATTATAAAATATTATAATTTTTTTTAATTTTTTAAATTTTACACCTCCAACTTTTAATTTTCTACTTTTTTCTTTTATTTCACACACTTTTTTTTTTCACTTTTAGTTTTCACATGCTATCAAAATAGGTGGGGTAAAAAAAAAGTAAAGGGGGTGCATGTAAAAATTGAAAAAAAAGAAAAATGATGTGTGAAAAAAAAATACTAAAATTAAATGTTGTGGATGTAAAATTAAAAAAATTTAAAAAAAATTAGAAATATTTTAAGAAAAATTTTATTTTTTAAAAGGAGGTGTACTTATAGAAAAAAGGAGGTGTATATATCATGAACCTTAATGGAGATGTTAAGAATTTATGAATTGGCCCAATTTTAAATTCCAAATATAACAAAAAAATATGAAAAAATTCTAAACCCTAAAAAAGAAAAAACTCTTCATCTTCAAGCAATGAGAACCCCTTGTGCCTCTGTCCCTGTACATTCAAATCAAACCACCAAAGCTAACAAACCTTCAAACTTCATTTTCATTCCTTTCTCATGACCAGACCAACAACGACCACATACATGGATGTAGAGTTTATATGAATAAATTTCTACATAAACTCTTGTGAAAAAAATTGATGAAAAAATTAAATAAGTTTCTTCGTAAGATAAAACTATCTCATGCATAACTTTTTGAAAAAATTATGAAATTTTTTTTATAAATTAATTTATATATAAATTAATTTTAATTTATTAAAAATAATTTTTCTATTTATTTTTTAAAAATATTTCTTAAAAAGTTTATCCACAAACACCGTTCAATACAGCTAAAAGATATTGGCCCATCCAATAGGTCGCACCTTGTCTTGTCGTAGGCCTCAAATCTCAATGTCCATATGCTAATGCTTGTACGGCCCAAAGCGTATAAATTATTAAGTAGAATTGTATTACATGATTCCTAACTAATTTTTATATAATATATAATTAAGTGTTATTATTTTTTTCTTATAAATTAATAAATTTAAATATTTATTATATAATGATTAGTTAGGACTATAAACACGTTTTATCATGAATTATCTAATAATCTTCCATCCACAACCAAATTTACATGTATTATGGTCATTTTTATAATAACAATAAAATTATTTTTTAAGATTTTAAATAAATTGTTTTTACAAACTCAAGATTCATTTAATTAAAATATTTATTTTATATAACTTAAATCAATTTATTTATATTAAATATGAATTTTTATTTTATACAATAATATTTTTAAGATTTTTCTTCGTAGAGATTTTGTAAAAAAAAATAAATTCTTATTTAATTTGGATTTTTTATTATAATTATTTAAAAATTAATTATTAATATTTTAAATAAATTATTAATAAAAAAATAATCTTATGTTACAATATAAATTATTTATCA